GCTGTACTTACCCCGAAAATAATGTTATGATTATCATGGAAGAGTGCTGCTGAGCTAAAGGGACATAAAACAAATTTTGGGAAAGAGTCTGAGAGAAAATTCTCAAATATATGTAATAATTTACTTTTGAGTTAATATTTATTTATTCAAAATGGACAGAGAAAATATAAAAGTAATTAAGTTTCAGACTCCCCGCATATTAAAGTAGGATGTCTTTGACATTGCTATTTGGAAACACAACTCGGATTTGGGATAGGCTCGGCTTTCACTTAGGACTATTTCGAGTTTGAAATAGGGTCGGCATCGCAGAGCCACTTCGTTGCAGTATCTAACTAAGATAAATTAGTAAAAGGTTGTAGGCATTTTATGCTCGTGGGAATGGACTAATTTAGATTAACTCAAATAACTTAGTATTTGTATAGGTATGATCGTATCACGAGTTTAAGAAAACGTAGCAATAGAATATGGAGAATTATTTTGAAGGGCAAGACAACGACATAGCTATTAGTTTCAAAAGATATAAAATGAGATAAACCGATTTCACAAATTACCGTTCATGTCATTAAATGATGATGTCACATATTATGCCTTGAAATGTTTTATCGGTGATATAAAATGAGACACATTTTTGACAATGCGCACGATCGTAATTACAAATCACAAATTGCTAATTTTGATAGATTTTAATTATAATAATATTGCATTAGTTTGCAGGTGGATTGGCCATGATCATTGAGGTTTTTCGTTTGATCAAGTGTAACCTAATACTTAATAACCTTTTGGAAGCTATATAATGTCTTGAATGACCACAACTTCCCCGGACTGGAAAGCGAGTTATCCAATTCCCAGGGCAATTGATACGTGGTCAATAGTGGACCATCACTCTGCAAAATGCGATGGGACTGCCTCGCTCGATATGTGCATAAAAGACTGCTGAAAAAAAAATAGATGTAGACTCGATATTATCTTCTCTGAATACAACCATACGTAAAACATAACATAATGATAAATAGCGGATAAACTCTAGCCCGATATGCTAGAGTTTGTTGGTTAGGTAAGACGTGCAACTTTCTTGGGTGCATTCTTTTCTTGGCATCTCTCTTGGGGCTCTATTTAAGAGTTTGGATAGGTTTGATTTTGAGCAACCAAGTTATTAAGAACAATACCCTATAACATGTGATCTGTAAGAGAGAAAAATATTAGCATCAAAATAATTTTCAGAGTCTTTGTTTCGATTCTCATTTTTGTGCTCGCCCGTGCACTCGTTTTGATTTCACGTCCTGAAATATTCTTTAGGCCAAGCCCATAATCGGCAGCCCAATCTAAGTCCAAAAGCACAATATATGTCCCACTCGTTTGTGGTTGGGCTTGACACAACATCCCCCTTCGTATTTCCCACGTAGGTCTAGCAAAAATACTCCTGCATGCATTTTCATCAAAGAATCACAACTATTATCATCCTCTAGGAAACCTAGGTTTTGTTGGAATTTTTGAGAAATGATCAAGATTGAAAGTTGCTTTTGAGTTTGCTTTACCATATACAAACATTAAACATGCGTATCTCTAAATAGATCCGGCGAGGGTAGGGGCCATTGTCAAGGCCAGCGGCTGGCTTAGGGAATAAGGAAGAACGAAAAAAGAGAAAGGAAAGAAAAAAGAAAGAGAAAAATGACGAAAAAATTTCAAAAAAATTTTAAAAAAATTATCCACATTGGCGTCAGCCATGCAACGTAAAAGACCGGCACAGGGTAACCCAAAGGATTAGTTGAGGTAAAATGATTGAACCGAGGCATGGCACCTCAATTAGAGCGAGGTTTCATGTTTTGCTTTTTACTTGGCACAAGCCTCTTGGGTCATTGTGCCAAGAACACGGTGAAGTAATTCCTAGGGAATCTCCAAGGAAGTAATTCCTTGTGAATTCTGTAATTTTGATGGTCTACTTTTGATTTGATTGGAGAGGCAGACTTATTCTAAATTATTTGGGATTAAAATTGCACTCAATTTTTTCCTCAACATGTAGCTAGATTTAGATGTTCTAAATAAAGGTCATATCTTCATCCAATCATATCCCTGATTGGTGGGTCACAAATATAATTATCGCCCACTTTTAATTTTAGTCTAGTCTGTATGCGATGATAGTCATTACTTGCAACCCTCAAATTGAAGGCATGACCGGAGGAAAGTTTCCTCCAACCCGTGATGGAAGAAAATACACTCCTTCGAATAAATAATATTAAGAAATACGAATATAAAGTGTGATATGAAGAACAATCCTCCATATTACTATTTTTTTTATTTGATAAACAATTAAAATGCGACACTTTTCTCTTATGGCCAAAAAAGAATCTAATGCGAGATAGCTTTTATGCTTCTTAATCCTATGCAATTCAAATGGGCTTTTTGACCCAAAAAAGCAGAAATAGCCTAGCCCACTAAAACATTGCCCGATTGACCCAACGTGTGGAATGCCCATGATTGGTGATCTCCTCTCTGCATAAAGCACGCATGTCAATCAAAAAGGCAAGAAGTTCCAGATGATCTTTGGGTGATCGCAAAATTATGTCGTCTTAATACGGCAAAACGAATCAATCACGATAAACAAAGTAATCTCGAAACAAGCACCTTTCGATAGGGCCCATCATAGTTACTTGAAGTGTGAGTTTAGACAAGATAATTTTCAATATCGCCAAAACAATAAAGAGCAGCGATCAACTATTGATTGTTCCACGCCTCAAATAACAAGTTTCATACCAATGGCTGACAATAACTCTTATGGGCGGTTTTGCCAGGATAAGCAATAAGGAGATCACTTTTCTACTAATTGGTGTGGAAATTGGTATTGATGTAATTTACCTACTAAAACATCGCCCACCTCTATCCAAGATTCCAGCATCATAATTCAATTTTTTGTTTAAATTGGGGAGTCCGATCGGGGATGGCAAGCCATTTGACAAGGAGATTTTGAAATTGTGGAGGCTTGGTTTAATCAAGTCACGAGTATTGGAAACAAGTTATAGTGCTTACTCCAAGTAATGATATTGAAGCGCAGAGACTTGCCAAGAGGATATGTGCAAATAACTATTTTTGAGAAAAATAATCTCATAAAGAACTTCAATACCAAGCACTTTTCTCCATGAACGACAGGCATCATGCATGGAGTTCGTTTCCCTTGAGCTTTTCTCAGTATTGGAATTGCAAGTGGATGGTCAAAAGCAAAGAAAGATACATGGAACTCTGTTTTTTTCCAGCACTACCTTTGAGACCTATAATGATCCTCTCTTAATTACTAGTTAAATCACTGTGGTGGGAGGCAATCGATCTCAAGTCATTCGAGAATTTGGGGGCCAAGAAAGGTGAGAAATTCTATTTTGCGAGATTGTTTCATTGTTTAGATACATCGCATTACACTAATATATGTTTAAAACATAAACTTGGATAAGCTTGACTTCTGTTTGGAGATTTTTACAAAGATTAGGGAGATACCAAAGAGTTGGTTATTGTCAATCTAAGTCGAGCCACTACAAAAATAATACGCGTCATCTCAAAATTCAAGCTCGAAAGTGAAGTAAAATATAAGGTGAGACCTATGATTTATATTTTACTTGATTGAATAACTTGAGATCGTAACACAAGGAAGCATTTCCTAGTCCCAATGTGAATGACCTGCTTATGATCGAAGGAGGTGAACTAAATTTGGTGGATATCGATCCCGACTAAATATGTCAAGTTGATTCGTTGACCGCTTGAAAAGTAAAATGTGGACTAAATTTGGTGGATATCAAACCTGACAAAAAAAGTCAAGTTGACCCGATTGACCGCTTGAAAAGTAAAATGGTTCAGCACAGAGTCTCCTCAATGGGATATTTAGAATGTGATGTCTTGCTTAGAGTCAAATTCATCACTTGACAGACAATGCCTATTGTGTTCGTGCGTACTTATAAATATTGATTCCTATCTGCACTTCCTGTACACATATGTAGCTTCCAATGATGGATGGTGCCAAATTATGAATGATGATGGATATCCCAATTCCACTACATGTAAAATCATGGTTCTTATGTATGATGTTTGCCACATTTCGATGCGACCCGAATTAAAAAGAGTTTGGAGTAACGATAATAGTAATTTATAACAAATTATCATTATTATTTATATTTTGAATTTCTGATGAGTATTGTTTATATTGTGACATGTGTTCTAGATTTTATTTTTGTAAAGTGAAATGATTTTCTTCGTATCGTATCTATGAATAGTTAGTGACTCATTGATAGTATATAAAATTCTTGACTTTTCTTCATTGCAATTGATGAAGTTTGTCATTCAATTTTCTTCAAATCACCAAGTTAAAGCCCTAAACATTTTCTCGAACCTTGATTAAGTATTGATGAGGCAAGAGACAGTAGTTGTGCAACAAATGACTTCATCATAAGCAAATGCTCGAAACATCTCTCTTCCCTAGTTTTTCTTCCAACTTTGTATCAATTTTAGTTTACGTCCAAGTCTATAATTTTTTTTTATTCGTATTTGAAATGATTTTCTTGAGCAAAGTAAGTTATATGTCGATTCAGTTTTTTTTTTTTGCAACCATTAAGGTTATTGTAATCCTTATACTAGCGAATAGATAGGGATAAAGCTACGTTTAATACTTAAACTTGTGTAGTTCTTGCAACTGGGTCCTCAAATTTGATCCCTTAGTTCATTGCCTCAAAATGAAATTTGATTAATTAATTGAACCTTGGATTACGCTTGGACAAATCCTCTTTAAAAAACAACCCTTTATCATGGCAATGCATCAAAGTTGCAAAGTCATTTGTCCCTCATCCAATTCAAAGGAATAAAGCCACCCCCTTTAACAAATGCTAAAATGGCAATGCTGTAATCTCTCTCTCTCTCTCTCTCTCTCTCTCTCTCTCTCTCTCTCTCTCTCTCTCTCTCTCTCTCTACTTTAAATTTGTGATGTCCAGCCTGCATGTCTCTTTTTTCATGCCTAATCAATTATCTCACTCCATGTTCTCTCTCGTTTCACCTTCAGTTTAGCTAGCAGCTCCACTTTTTAGTATTCTTTTCATTTCTTCTGCATTTGCTTCCTTCAACCTCTGTCTAAAGAAGCTTGAGAGATAGAGAAGCCAAAGAAAGATAGATAGAGAGGCCACTTGATCCAATAAAGATCAGTTTTTTTATGCTTTGATCGCACACCCATCTGAAGCTACTTAGTATCATGTCATTCCCATATCCTTCTCCTCAAACCCAGCACTATTCAATGACTTTGTCTAAAAACTTTTGATCTTTGTTTGAAAGCAATATATTCTTTGAGAAACAATGAGGGTCCATTTCATTGTTCGATGAATTGTACTTCTGTGCACTGTAATTCCTGGTTCATCTTCTTCTGTTAGCGATGTTGATGTCCTGCTCTCGCTGAAGCAAGGATTTGAGTCCCCCAAACCGGCTTTAAGCACCTGGAGTTCTTCAAACTCTAGCTCGGTTTGTTTATGGTCCAGGATTAGATGCTCGAGGGGATGCGTGGTTTTGCTCAAGCTGACGGATTTGAATCTGGGCAGTTCTCTCTCCTTGTTTCTAGGCTCAATGGCCTTGTCAAGCTCTCTGTCAGTCTACTCACTGGAGATATACCATCAGAGGTCACGAGATTCCAGAAGCTGAAACTTGTCAACCGCCTCTTAAACAAGCTATACGAGTCGACTCCTGAGTTCCTTGCAGACCTCCCGAGTTTGGAAACTCTAGACCTATGGTCAAACAACGTCACTGGTGTGATTCCTGAGGATCTCGGCAGGAATGGGAAGCTTCAGGATCTTGATTTGTCCACCAACAAGCTCCCTGGAACGATCGCTCGAGATTTGTGCTCACTGAACCGGCTCAGGATCTTGATCCTGTTCAACAATTTCCTCTTTGGGCCTATCCCAGAAGCTCTAGGCTCATGCTATAGCCTAGTTAAGGTGAGGTTGGGGCAGAACTACTTAAATGGAAGCATTCCGAATGGCTTCATTTACTTGCCTCAGCTCAAACTCATGGAATTGTAGAACTACCTGTCAGGAGTTTTGCTAGAGAATTGCAAAGGGTTCTTCCATCTTCGTTCTCAACTTGTCTAGCCTTCAAATCCTACTCATTAGTGGGAATCAACTTTCAGGTCCACTCCTGGCTTTTGTAGGGGACTTAAGGCAGGTGGTTAATCTCGACCTGAGGCAGAATTTCTTGTCAGGCGAGATGCCACCGGATATCAGGAACTGTTAGCATCTTACTTATTTAGACATCAGCCAGAACAACCTCTCCAATTACTTGAACATCTTTAGGAACCACTTAAACCAGCACTAAACTTGAATAGCCTGAATCCCACTATTTTCTTCTGAAACAACTAAGTCACCATTTTGCATCTCCCATCGCCACAGCCTTATGCAGCTGCCACCTTCAACGTTTGTCCTATTGGCTTCTTTGCCACTTCTGATAGTTCAGTATCTTGGAGGACCGGGAAACTTCTTCTGGTTCTTCATTTTCTTTTTTGGTTTGGTAGAGTCTGAAGTTGAGCTGATTATACTCAATTGTTGATAAAGTGGTTAGTAATCTCAATTCATTGCTTCCGAGACACTTAACAGTCGGGGTGCCATGAATCACATTATCCAGTAAAAGATACGACTTAAAACGATCTAGCTCTTAATGCTGTGCAATTTTTCTGAGGAAGGATCGTTAGTATTAGGGGAGAAACTAAACAGAGTAGAAAACTCCAATGAATTGCTATATATGAAGATGGAAATATTGGGATTGGGGAATCAATAGAGTTTAAGCAATAGAAACACAGAGATGACATGCCAGATTAGAAACTCTCTCTGCACGACAGGAAAATTGCAAATGGGCATTTATAAGATGTGAAGAATATTGTACCTCTCATTGTTCCTGGAAAGTGAAAACTTCCGATCAACTGTTGTGATCGATAGTTTGCACTTAAGAAGGAAGTTTGCCATACCCACTTCTATTATCATAGAAAACCTAAAGCATCCCTATTAAATTCTGGATACTACCTTCGAGTGGTTTTCGCATTTTGCTGCCTTGAAAGAGCTGGCAACTTCCTACACGAATTAACACGTTTATACGTGATTATATGACAAATCTGAAAGTGACACGAATTGACACAAACTTAATATACATAGATTTTATATCATAATTAACAAAGTACGGTGTTTTCTAATGACGCAATAGCAAAACCCAATCATGACCCGAGAACTTGTAATGCCAGCTAGTCAATTTTTTCAATAGAAAGTACATATTGTTGGCGTGAGCTGTATTTTCTACAAATTAGGGAGTTTTTTGTTTTTCCTTTATTACAGTTTTTTCCTGATTTATTGAGATGCTAGGGTTATTCCCTGTATTGTACATAAGAAAATCGTAATACTGTATAGAATGACTCAATATAGAGAAAAATATTCTTCTACATGGTATCAGAGCCTAGGATTCGCTCCTTGTGTCGCATTTTTTTTGTTGGCTCGCTTTCTCTATTGCGCTGTCCGACGTGCATCCTACCCGATCTTCTTCATCTTTGTCACGATTGATTGTGGATCCATGGAGGATCAGAACCCTACCGGAACAGTGATTCCCCATCAGAACCAAGGGGGGAATTCGACCACGGATGCCTTTTTGGAGAATAAAGATCAAAACCCTACCAGAATAGTGATTCCCCATCAGAACCAAAGGGGGAATTCGACTACGGAAGCTTTTTTGGAGAACCTAACTGCTAGATTAACTCAGATTCTCACTTAGATTCTCATCAAAATCAAAGGGGGAATTCAACCACAGAAGCTTTTTTTGAGAATCTGACTGCCAGATTAACTCAGATTCTCACTTAGAACCAGACGCACCCTCCTCCTCCATCATCAACACCGCAGAATGATTTGGCTTCATCTCAGATTGCAATTAAATTGGATGGAGCTAACTATGGATTATGGTCTCAGGTTGTCGAGATGTACATTACTGGTAAAGACAAACTGGGATATATCAACGGAGACCTCCCTCAGCCACTGCCTACAGATCCTAGCTTTTGGAGGTGGAAAACAGAAGACTCGACTGTGAAAGGATGGCTTATCAACTCCATGGATCTGGCGTTGATTGGCAATTTTATCATATTCCTTACCATTAAAGCTGTGTGGGATTCCGTAGCTACCACTTTCTTTGATGGCACCGATACTTCCCAGGTGTATGATTTAAAGCGCCAGGTATCACGACTCAAGCAAGCTAGAGGACCAATCGAAAAATGCTATAATGATCTTCAAGGACTCTGGCGTGAAATTGATTTCCGCAGACCTAATCCTATGGTGTGTCATGCAGATATTGAGCACTACAATAATGTTGTTCAAGAGGATAAGGTTTACCTTTTTCTGGATGGACTTGATGATCGTTTCGACAAGGTTTGTGCAAATGTCTTGCAGATGCAGCCTTTCCTCACAGTTAGGAAAGCCTACGTACGCGTCCGTAGAGAAGATGTGCGCCAAACCGTGATGCTGACCAATGCCGATGGCTCTCCTACGGGTACAGCAATGGTCTCACGGGGTAGTCGAGGAGACCTGTCTCTGCAGTTGATGGCAGGCAATTCGGTAGGTAGAGGTGGGTGCTCTTGATCTACTATCAAGGCCAAGTCTCAGGTGCCCGGCGGCTGTTCTCACTGTGGCAATTCCAAACACACTAGGGACACTTGTTTTAAGCTGCATGGATTCCTGGATTGGTGGAACGATTTTCAAGCAAAGAAGAAGAAATCTAAAGCAGAATTGGGCAAGAGTGTAGGGCAGGCATCCTTGGTGACTGGGAGTTCGTCTCTTTCCCTGGTCCCGATGGTACCTTCAGCTAATTCGTCCACCCTTCCTCCTGAAGGTAATTATGGTTCTGTTTTTGTCACTACTCGTCATGGTGGAAACAATGGCTGGATTATCGACTCAGGCGCTACCGGTCACATGATGCCTAACCCCAATGATCTAGTGAACCGTACCTCACCGCGGCGAGACAGTGTGTATAATGCTAATGGACATTGCCATCCGGTCATCAGGGCTGAGAGTGTGCCTCTCACGCCATCTCTTTCTCTATCTAATACATTATTTGTGCCCTCTTTGTCCAACAGGTTATTGTCTATTGGACAAATTACTGATGAGTTGAATTGCCATGTTCTTATGTACCCCGATTTCTGTTTGTTTCAGGACATTCTCACGAAGGAGATTATTGGGCGTGGTACTAAGAAGGAGGGGCTATACATTGTGGATGATCTCAACTCTAGCTATGCCTATCACACTCTTGGTTGGTCTGTTAGTAAGGAGAAGGATGTTTGGTTGTGGCACCGTCGATTGGGGCACCCATCATTTAGATATTTGAAGCATTTGTTTCCTGAGTTATTTTGTGGTTTATCGGATTCTGCTTTTCAATGTGAAACATGCATTGTAGCAAAAAGTCATCGTGTTTCTTTTCCTTTGAGCTCTAATAAAAGTAGCAAGCCTTTTTGTTTGGTTCATTCTGATGTGTGGGATGCATCTCCAATTACTACAATGTCTGGAATGAGATGGTTTATAACCTTTGTTGATGACTGCACACGTATGACATGGTTGTATCTGATGAAGCATAAAGATGAGGTTCCTAACATATTCCGTATGTTTCATAAAATGGTTGCCACCCAATTTGAAGCTCGTATTCAGATTCTCCGCACGGACAATGGTGGGGAATATATCAATCAACACCTTATCTCTTATTTTAAGTAACATGGTGTTATCCATGAGACCTCTTGCAGTCAAACCCGCCAACTGAACGGTGTGGCCGAACAAAAGAACCGCCACATTCTAGAGATGACGAGAGCTCTTCTAGTCGGCGGCAATGTTCCAAAAAGGTTCTAGGATGCAGTGGTGGTCACAGCCGTTCACTTGATGAATCGTATGCCCTCTCGTGTGTTGCAATTTCAAACTCCATTACAAGCTCTATCCCAGTTTGTGCTTCTTCCTTTAGTCTTGACAATACCCCCTAAAGTGTTTGGGTGTGTGGCTTTTGTGCATCTTCACAAGAACCAACATACAAAACTTGACCCGTGTGCGGTGCGGCGTGTATTTATTGGTTAGTAACTAGAAATTTCCCTGTGTAGTCAGTAACTAATAAACTTATACACATATATATAGTAAAATTTCATATAGAAAAGGTAACTGTTGGTTGATATATGTGGAGGCATTTTTTCTCCTCCATTCATGTGTAGGAAACGAGTGCCCATTTAGGAGAGAGTTGGGGATAAAAAAACTCTAACGAAATGGAATAAAAACTATAAATTGATACTTCCCACAAGATAAATTGCCTGATTGACTTCTCATTGATCAAAACAATATCTTTGCAGTTTGCACAATCAAAATAAAAATTGTTTATTTACACTTAAAAAACTCGTATCCAATATGGCAAAGGGAATTGGACTTCCGAAATCCACCTCAGCATCGACATTGACATCCTCTTCCTCCACGAATAATTTCCACGCTTCTTCTTTATCTAAAGGTTGAATTTGAATCTCTTCACAATCCAATGGAGAACATACTTAGGAGAAACGTGTTGTTAGGACCACCTTAAGTCCAGCTCTATCAGAAATTCGAATTCCCACGTCCTAGAGTTTAAAATGCTTCCACAGATCATTAAAAAAAAGGGTTAATATAACGAAAAACTCTAAACTGATACACCTGTGATAATTTTACCCCGAACTATTTTTTTTACCAAAAAAAATCCCAAATTGGTATACCCGTGACAAATATACCCCGAATTATTTTTTTGACCACCGAAAACCCTAAACTGGTACGCATATGACAATTTTACCCCGAACTAATTTTTGAATATTATTTTTTTATGTTTTCGAATTTTTTTATCTATTTTTTATTTTTCTTTTCTTTTCTTTTCTTTTTCTTCATCTTCAACCTTTGGCCAGTCGCCGGTCCGGCGACCGGCCAAAGGCGGAAGCCGGCGAGGTCGGCCGAGGTCGGCCTCGCCCAACGCCGGCGAGGTCGAGCCTCGCCAGCGGCTAGCGGGGCTAATCCCTCGCCGGCAACTGGCGAGGTCGGCCTTGCCCTGCAACGGGGAGGTCGAGCCTTGCCAGATCTAGCGAGGGCTCGGCCCCGTCGGCCGCTAAGGTCGAGCCTTGCCAGCGGTCGACGGGGCCGAGCCTTCGCCAGATCTGGCGAGGCTCGACCTCGCGATTGCAGGGCGAGGCTGACCTCGCCAGTTGCCAGCGAGGGCTCTGGCCCACCTGCCACTGGCGAGGCTCGACCTCGCCGGCGTTAGGTGAGGTTGGCCTCGCCCTACAACGGCAAGGTTGGCCTCGCCCAATGCCGGCAAGGTCGAGCCTCGCCAGCGGCCGGCATGGCCGACCTCGCTGGCTTCCTCCTCTGGCCTATCACCGGACCGGCGACCGGCCAAAGGTTGAA